TCAAATTGATAATCTAAAAGATTGTTCACTAACTCACTCCCGACAACAATCATTCTAAAAGTTGATCGTGAAATTTGAGTTCAACGACTTAATAATCTGAAGTGATGTGGTCATGAGGGGGAGCATATACGCACTGCACTCTTTTTCCCTTAACCATGGTTTTTTCCTAATGGGTTTTCCTGGTAAGGTTTTTAACGAGGCAATATGAGATAGCGTAATGCAATCTAGTGGTCATCCAAGGAGGAGTATTATGTAAATATTGATATATGGATAAATGATAGGGCAAAAGCGTAATGCCAATTCCTATCTTGTAGTAAACCGGAAAGTCCGGGTATCGTCTCTTAGGGACTGGTGCAACCTTTTATTCTATCAATTTATAGAGCAAACTATAGGGTAAAATGGTTTAATGAGACTAATTATCTAAAAGCAAAATAAACTAATTAAGCAAAGTAAAATGGTCGGGAGAAAATCAATGGGAGAAAGCTCTGGGAGAAACACCGGGACTCGCTACCTATCATATCCTAATTAATTCACATATTCTAATCGGTTTAATCCAATTCTCTACAGCCAGGATATCACTACTGTGCTAGCTATCCCTGTCAGGAATTACTACGTACTAAACAATTAAATCAAATCCTACTGTCGTAGCTCAATGACTTAATTATTTAGCATAAAGATTGATATCCTATTTAAGACCGCATAGCACCTTATTTAATCCACTGTCGCTTCGATAAGTTACTATGTCACATGAAATAGGTTCAGTTATTAGGGTTTCACTGTCGCTGATAACCTAATTAACTACAAATCGATGTATTGGTGGCCAGTCAACACAAAGCATTAAGCAATTTCATGCAATAGAGATAGGAAGAAGAGAAATATGAATCAATCCATCAATTCTAGAAATAGCTACATCCTATGGTGTTTCCCCCAGAAATTGGGGTTTAGTTTATGACGAAAATAAAACACACAATCATGTTCTTTTTCATCACGATGCTAGTAACGAAAAGAAGAGAAAATACTTATACGAATAGAAGCACAAAATCTAATTTTCTCGTCCGATCCGTGATACTAGTGATCTGCTCCAATCATTGTGCTCGTCCTTTGTCTCCGAGTCGCACTGCTGCTCTCACCCAAAAGAATTTCGTCCCCCAGCTTGCCCTGTCCTGCCGCTTTTTTTCCCAAAAGAATCCCCCGATCGCCAATTATAATTCCGCCCAGGCCCAAATATGTCCCAGTCATTCCCTGTCCGTGTCCAATTTAATAAACCTCCAATTTTTTGTTCCCCCGGTCTATGTTAATTCCCCACCAAGAATAATCACTTCCCTCTAATAATTCCGTACCCGACTAATTAATTGCTCCCCTCGAGAAATATTGTTTCCGCTGCCAACAAATTAGAAGATCCCCCCGCCAATTATGTGTCCCCATTCCCCTCCGAGCTACTTGTGTTCATTTAATTCAGTGGGCCAATCCAAGCCCAAAAACACTGCTGCCGTTCAACTCCCTGCAGCCTGTTCCAATTATTCGGTCCCCAGGGAAGCTCGACCCAATCTTCTTTATCGTGCTTTATTCACCTGTAATACATCAAACTCATGGCACTAGGCAATAATGGTTTTTCAACCATTCTCGGGTTATCGAGCCCTCAAATAGCACCAATCGGCTTAAACAGATCATAGGATAGTCACATAAAGTTCAAGAATCCGATATATTAAAGCCAATTATCACAACCCCACACTCAATTGTTGCTTGCCCCTAAGCAACGACTCAAAAGACAAAGACACAAAACTTTCCACAACAATGACACATCACAAACTCACCAATCAAACACTCGACACAAAACAAAAATTTCCTTGTACTCTTGTTGTAATCAGTAGTTTCTTTCTTAAAGGACGAGTTGTGCTTTAATGATCATACCTTTCACCCCACACTCAAGGTCTTTGCAACCATTTAACATTGACTGACTCCAATCCACAAAAACTCAAATAGCAACACTCAATTCCGATCGTCGGTAGTGGGTGATTAACAACTTATGGTGTAACAGTTATTAGGAGAATCTAACCAGATCAGTTAGGTGCATATCTCGTGAGGACAATCTGGCTTACTCACACCAATCATAAGCAATAACAAAGCATGAGTCTCAAAAACTAATGGGGGAAGCCTTTCGCAAACATGATTTTAACTTTAAGCACATCACTACCTTTTATGACAAGGAGAGGCTTTCTCTCTTTCTGATTTTGCTTGCCGAGTGGTCGTATTTAGTACAAGTGGGATTTGTTTCTTACTACTGGTGACCGAGCAAGATCAATTTCAGCTTCTTAGCACTCGCATAAGGGCTTCTTTCAACTCCTTTTCCTCGGTCCGTGTGGAAGGTCATTGCACATTCTCAAATGGCACTTCACTCAACGGGGGTTTGTACTTGATAAGCAACATCGCACGGTCGCGAACCGATGCTCAGTTGAACCTTTCCTGATCCCCTTGTGCAATGAGTGATTGCCTCACACGCTTTTGGCATTTTACCCACAATTTAATTGTTATGGCAACTTTCTTATATTTTACTTGTCAGGTAGGATTTTTCCTTTTATAAAGATACAGTTCACCCCATCTAAAACATTCAAAATAGAGAGACTCATTGCAAAGTCAACAACTCACAATAGATGCAAGTAAGCACGGTATCCAAACATGTCGAATGGTCAATGTTCTCCACCTAACCAGTTCACCAAAAGTCGTTACACTATCCTCACAAAATAGAATGTTGCCAATGGGGTTTGCTAATTCAAAGCATATCAAGTCAGTCAAAACATCAAGCTCATTGTGAAGAACTTTGCAATTCAACGCTAGTGGGGTGATTTCGATGATTTCATTCAAGCACAAACTCATTTCACACGCATCACGGTCATTTACATCATTTTACCACAAGAGTACAAGGTTTTGATTTAAAATTTTCTGATTTTTAGGTGTTTTTTAGCCATTAGCTTTGCACAGGCAGACTGCACCTGCACAGGTAGACTGCATGCAGTTTGGCTGTGCTCAACCTAATGGGTATTTTTTTTACCACATGTGATGACTCGGTATTTGCACATGTTTTCCCCTTTGTTTCTTGATTGTTTGAGCTTGAATTATTGCGTCTTTGTCCTATTTTATGCTAGGTTGTGTTCCTTTGTCACATTTCAGGTCCTAGCACATAAAGTGAAGCATAGGCGCAAGTTTCAAATCAATCAGAGATCAATTGACGATTCGGGAGAAGAAACTCGGGCATGTCCTGAAGAAGAATGGATTTCTACCTCAATTTATGGAGAAAGAATATGCAAGCTTGTCATGAAAAGAAAGAGGACGAGACTACGAGCGTCTGGGATCAAACGGGGACTGATTCAGAGTCCGGACGAGGGAGAAACGAAGCATTAAACAGAGGCTGAGCAAGCCATACGGGCATCTTGGAATTCCACACGGCCGTGTGGGTCGTGGCCGTGTGGAAATCACAGAGCCTTCACACGGGCAGCTGGGAAAGCCACATGGCCGTGTGGCCTGGCCGCGTGATCGGGAATTTCTGTTTAAAACTCGATTTTCATCCAAAGGAAAGGGGAGAGCTGGGTTTTGGATCCCAAACACCCAAGGGACGAACCAAAGAGAGAAAGGGCGATCTGAGGGCATTCTAAGAGTGGAATTGGAGGATTTCTTCGCCTTGGAAGCTCGAGGAACAAGCCCGGACTTGAAGACTGATCATCTGAAGCTTCTTACTGCAGTCTCTCTCTTCTCTATGGAGTAACTTCCCTTCACTTAGGTTTTGAGGAACCCTAGCTATGTTTGTTTGATTGGATGATTGTATGAGTACTCTGACTTGATAATCTTGAGTTCATATTCAATCTATGCATGTTTTCATGATTCAATTCTGCTTTAGTCGAGATTATTGATTCTGCTTTGATCCTATGAGAGGGTATACCTGATTAGGTCAATAGAGCACCATAGATTGATAGTAGTGGATCGATTGCTTTAGTCGAGGGTTGATTCACTGCTTTGTATCGATTGAGAACCTCTTTCGATAGAGGGAGTCTAGTTCAGAATGCCTTGATCAGTTGTTCTAGAGAAGGATACGTCCCTCTAGGCAATTGACTCAAGAGGGCCTCGTTCCTTTAGTCGAGACTCAAGGTCTAGTCAAGGATTCTCCGCATTGTGAATGAAAGTGAAACAAGTTAGAAATCATCAATTGTTAGTCTGGCTAGTGGCTAGGGGGAATCATACCTAAGTGAGTTCCCAGCCTGTAATTAGATTAACTTTAACTGTAGTTTGCTAGAGTAGTTTTAGTTCTTTCATCTTAATCTGGTTTGCTAAATAATAAACTGAAGCTGAGTAATAGTAACTCTAGAGACCCGTGGATTCGATATTTATCACTTGAGCCACTATACTGCAGTCCCTTCCATTGGTTACACTTGGCCATTGTTAGGTGTTGTGTCGTAGCGAGTCAAGTTTTTAGCGCCGTTGCCGGGGACTTTCTAGAGTATTAGGAAAGGCAGAAGTTTGTTACTTTAGCGTTTTTATTTTCTTTTCTTTTCCACCCTTGCTTTTCACTTGGGTGTTTTTGTTTCTGTTGATGCAGATTTGAATCATGGATCCTCATGGCTTCTCCAATCATTGGGGGTATCCACCACCATCTGAGTGGTATTACCCCGAGACTCCCTGGAGAAATCAAGGAGGAGAAGACTACGGATTCGGGTTCCAGTACCAACCCCCTTACTACGGAGAACAACCAGACCCCTGGGCATATCAAGAAGAATTTCTCCCACAACCAGAAGGGCGGCGGGAGCAAACGAGACGAGTAAAATAAGCTTCTTCCTTGCCCCCGAACTGGTGGAATGGAATTAATTACTTGGGAAGGGCTTTATGGGTGCTTGGCTTTAATATGATGAGAAGAAGAGCACGGAGTCACGATTTCAGTCCCCGCTAAAGCAATTGTGGCCATTTCCATTCATAAATAACATCTGCGCATATTCGCGGCGTTGGAGTTACCCATGGCGGCCTTCACGGGCCATTCTGCAGAGCCATGCTACACTCCACAGCCAGATCCAAACCATGAATTGAGGCTTCTCATGGAGCAGTTTGCTCGAGATTGTGAGAGATCATGCTCCAGGATGGATCATTGTGTCCAGGCCTATCGTGAAACAGAGGAGATCCTCCTGAGCCTTAAGAAGAGCGCCGATGATCTTGAGCGATCTTTCGCACAACCTGCTCCAGATCACCCTTCTGCTACCATACAAGAAGAGGAGGAGGAAGAAGAAGGCTACAAGGACATAGTGGATCACACTGAAGTTGTCACGGAGAGCTCCCGTGATGATCCTGATTAGGAATGTCATATCATAGCCGACCACACCTTCCCACATCCCAAACTGAGCTTTGAAGAGGCGGGCATGAGTGAGGAGATGCAAGAAGATCTCATGAAAGAAATTTCTTGGCAACTTGCTCTCCAATCCGTGCTAGAAGAAGAAGAGCAAGAAAGGGTGCAGAAAGAAGTTGTGGAGGATGACGAAAGTGAAGCAGGAGGAGTTCTTGATCATTTCCCAGGGGTGATACCACATGAAGAAGAAAGGGAGGTTGAAGGAGCAATTGGCGTCCAGGCTGAGGACGGAGTTAAGGTGGAAGAGGCCTGCACCGGCTAAGAGTTACATGAGATATCTCCACCAAACTTCGAGGAACTACTTAGCAAGGACCCATTTGCAGTGTCTCTTTGCCAGACCAAGGCCATGTCGACATCGGTCCCTCTTGGTGGATGCGATGGTGGTCAATCGATGTTGTCATATCTAGTTTGGGGCAATGGGACGAGAGAAGATAAGAAGAGGTCTCGAGGATGGAGACTTCATCTGCATCAAGTGCACGAACTTCCATCACCAGTCATACCACATGCTCGTGACTTGCGACTCCACCTCATTGACGAGAACCTCAACTTCAAGGAGGTTCTAGCATGGACCGAAACTTAGGAGCCATCGTCCGGCTCACGACGTGAAAGAAGCGCTTGTTGGGAGGCAACCCAACCAGTCGGTTTGAATTTCTTTCTCTATTTCTCCTCGGTTGAGTCGGTTTTGTTATTTGATTTTAGAGTCAATAACTCAACCTTTGTGAGATTTTGTGTGGTGTTTGTGTTCTGATTACTCTCTCTTCCTGGAATGCACCGCCTGCCCCGTCCATCATCATTCACCCTTGATCTGGTAACTTCGTTCTACCCTCCTTATCTTTCCTCCATTGAGGACAATGTCGTGCTTAAGTGTGGGGGGATGTTCGATTATGTATGTGGGTGAATGTTTGGCTGTTTGTGTGCTTGGAGCCTAGTCCACTATCCAAATTTTTAAATTTGAGGGCTCCAAGTACGTGTTTCCTTGCAAATTGCCTGCTCAGTATGCTTTGAATCGACTTCTCTATATTAATGTGCAACCTAGGGAGGTAGTGTAGCACTATGGAGGATGTTGAAGTATAAGATGTTTCCTATCTAGCTCTCTGTTGTGCCAGTTGATTTTGTGAATTAGTGGAGCTAAGACCGTTGAATTCATGTGGTAATGGTGACTCTGTTTGGATTGTGTTATGGACTCGTGTATCAAACAGGGTACTCATATGGAAAATGGGAAGCAGTTGGTCCTCCATGTCGAAATCATTGAATTCTTAAACATGGGGTAAGCCCAACGTGTGTGGCACCGTTCATTGCACAAAATTGGGTTTTGGAAGAGATTTTAGTGATCCTTAGTGGGGTACTCCTACAAGGTGAAGCTAAGCTGTCTCTAGTACAAGTAAAATTTTCACCCGTTGAACGGTTTGCCTACTTGAGGATGTGTTTTTAAGGGCACGGATAGAGCTTCCGACCCCCCTTGATTTCATTGACCCTCCACACGAGTTGAGGAAAAGGAGTTAAAAGAAGTACTCTGGCGAGCGCTAGATGTACAAAAAATTGCTCTTGCTCGACTAATAAGGGTCGACCGTGCAAAAGACTGCAGTTGGAACCCCCGCCAAGTGAATGAACAAAAAAAGAGAAAAAGAAATGTAAATGAAAGTGCAAAAAGGGGTTCCAACGGTGAAATGAAGTGAAAGATCACCCCGGTACAACGAGTCCTTGGTTGTGAATGGTGTGAGTCCCTTTGTCCATGAACTGACTGTCTTACTTCTACTTCTTCTCATGTTCCTGGCTTGAGTCTAGTACTCGCATTGAGAGAGATAGGAGACGTCTTAGAAGACTAGTTGACCTTGTAAGCTGCTATATGATCTAGGAAATCCTCTACCGACGATCGGGGTTGTTTGTTGCTATAGAGGTCTGGAGAGCTGCATTGGTTTGAGTTAGGTTTGCTTGGGGACAAGCAAACAGTTAAGTGTGGGGGGATTTGATGTGCTCGGTATTTGCACATGTTTTCCCATTTGTTTCTTGATTGTCTGAGCTTGAATTATTGCGTCTTTGTCCTATTTTATGCTAGGTTGTGTTCCTTTGTCACATTTCAGGTCCTAGCACATAAAGTGAAGCATAGGCGCAAGTTTCAAATCAATCAGAGATCAATTGACGATTCAGGAGAAGAAACTCGGGCATGTCCTGAAGAAGATAGGATTTCTACCTCACTTTATGGACAAAGAATCATACAAGCTTGTCATGAAAAGAAAGAGGACGAGACTACGAGCGTCTGGGATCAAACGGGGACTGATTCGGAGTCCGGACGAGGGAGAAACGAAGCATTAAACAGAGGCTGAGCAAGCCATACGGGCATCCTGGAATTCCACACGGCCGTGTGGGTCGTGGCCGTGTGGAAATCACAGAGCCTTCACACGGGCAGCTGGGAAAGCCACATGGCCGTGTGGCCTGGCCGCGTGATCGGGAATTTCTGTTTAAAACTCGATTTTCAGCCAAAGGAAAGGGGAGAGCTGGGTTTTGGATCCCAAACACCCAAGGGACGAACCAAAGAGAGAAAGGGCGATCTGAGGGCATTCTAAGAGTGGAATTGGAGTATTTCTTCACCTTGGAAGCTTGAGGAACAAGCCCGGACTTGAAGACTGATCATCTGAAGCTTCTTACTGCAGTCTCTCTCTTCTCTATGGAGTAACTTCCCTTCACTTAGGTTTTGAGGAACCCTAGCTATGTTTGTTTGATTGGATGATTGTATGAGTACTCTGACTTGATAATCTTGAGTTCATATTCAATCTATGCATGTTTTCATGATTCAATTCTGCTTTCGTCGAGATTATTGATTCTGCTTTGATCCTATGAGAGGGTATACCGGATTAGGTCAATAGAGCACCATAGATTGATAGTAGTGGATCGATTGCTTTAGTCGAGGGTTGATTCACTGCTTTGTATCGATTGAGAACCTCTTTCGATAGAGGGAGTCTAGTTCAGAATGCCTTGATCAGTTGTTCTAGAGAAGGATACGTCCCTCTAGGCAATTGACTCAAGAGGGCCTTGTTCCTTTAGTCGAGACTCAAGGTCTAGTCAAGGATTCTCTGCATTGTGAATGAAAGTGAAACAAGTTAGAAATCATCAATCGTTAGTCTGGCTAGTGGCTAGGGGGAATCATACCTAAGTGAGTTCCCAACCTGTAATTAGATTAACTTTAACTGTAGTTTGCTAGAGTAGTTTTAGTTCTTTCATCTTAATCTGGTTTGCTAAATAATAAACTGAAGCTGAGTAATAGTAACTCTAGAGACCTATGGATTCGATATTTATCACTTGAGCCACTATACTGCAGTCCCTTCCATTGGTTACACTTGGCCATTGTTAGGTGTTGTGTCGTAGCGAGTCAACATGCAACAGGGACAAACAAACACTAAGACTCACTACCCCACACTCAGGATGGAACAATGTCCCTAATGTTCAACTTCTAATCTAAACATGCACGGGTTTGACACAACTTAAAAGAAAAATAAAGAAAACTTACCTTGGATTGCCTCCCATGAAGCGCTTGTTTAACGTCCTCAGCCTGACGTTCATGGAGCTTTCAACCAATGGTTATGGAAAGGTATCCAGAATACCCTCCCGATAAATGATAGAACGCATAGCCTCCATCTAACATATGAGTCACCTCAGCAGGGCCAGGTGTGAGAAAATTTGGTATGACCTTCTTAGTTGCCATGTTGGACCCTTTAGTGAGGCGCAGGTGGTATTGCAGTGCCTCTAGCAAGTACGCTTCCTGTTCCAATGTCAGTGAAGAAGGAATAATAACAGGAAGATTGAAATCCTTACCCAAATATCTATACTTGAGGTAACCTGGCAAGGATTTCTGCCCTTGCTTTGATTTCAGACTTTGAGCTGCTAGGATATGTGATAGTTCTTTGGGTGGTCCACTATCACAGGAAGAGGAATTTTTCATTTCTCGAGCTCCACTTTCAAATTCATCAAATTCATCGTGATTATGGTCAACTTGAAAGACATTAAAAATTTCATCCTCCTTACCGACTCGGAATGTCAACTTGCCGCTCCCGACATCGATGAGTGCATCGCTAGTGGCTAGAAAAGGTCTACCAAGAATGAGAGGCACTCCCCGATCTTCTTCCATCTCCAGAATCAAAAAATCCGTAGGGAGAATAAACTTCCCCACCTTCACCAATACCTTCTCCACCATTCCCTTTGGAATTTTCACTGGTCGATCAGCCAATTGGAGAGTGATCCGAGTAGGCTTAAGAACATCTCCCAATCCCAATTTCTTGTAGACTGAGTATGGCATCAAATTAATTCCTGCTCCAAGATCACAAAGTGATATGTTGAAATTTGTACCTCCAATGACACATGGAATGGTGAAGCTGCCTGGATCATCCCTCTTTTCTGGTAATTTATTTTGAATCACAGCACTACATTCAGAAGTAAGGGTTACCTTCTCTAGATCAACCCATTTGAACTTCTTTGTCAGCAACACCCTTAAGAAGTTAGCATATGTAGGCATCTGTTCAAGTGCCTCCGCAAACGGTATGTTGATCTGAAGTCGCTTGAAGATATTCACAAATTTCTTGAAGTTTGGGTCTTCCATGGGCTTCATTAACCTCTGAGGGAATGGTGCGGGAGGTTCATAAGGCTTTACCTCTTCATTCTTGAGTTTTTCCACTTTTGGAGTTGCACAGGCAGAATGCTCATGCACAGGCAGATTGCATGCAGTTTGCCTGTGTAAGTCAGATTTTTCAGCTTTTGCACTTTCTTCCTCTGCAGCTGCTTTGCTCTCCTTTTCTACAGGATTTTTCTTGCTCTTTGGATCCTCCAACTCCTTACCACTCCTCAATGTGACTGCTACAACCATGACATCCTTTGGATTCCTCTCGGTATTTGCTGGTAAAAGTCCCTGAAATCCTACCTTGAATATCTGCCAACGTTTGAGCCATCTGGCCTATTTGC